AGATTGTACTATTTAAGGTAATAAAATATGTAAAGCAGTTAAACTGGGCCCCTCACCTGTTCATTTGTTTGTCACTAGCAAATTACAATGCATTGCAGTTAACACATGCCCTATTTTGTAGTATTTGCTGATTTCTGTGGCATACATAGTCTTACCTTGGCTGATTTCAAGTTGTCAACGTGAGTCCTGAACATGGATTTGGGAAGAGATGAGCAGTTGTGCACCATTATATAGTATTTTGACCATAGACACAATAGACATAAATAACTTCAAGATAATGGTGAAGTATAATAGATAATAGTAAAATATAAATTAAGAAGTGATGAGTTTTAGGTATTTATTATTTGGATTTTTAATATAATGTGTTTAATTTCAAGTTTATGTCATCACATCTTTAATGATGGCTATGTTTAACAACAAGCTCACAGAATTCCTGAAAATGTAGCATTCAGCACTCGCTAGCAGGGTGAGTGGCCTCAGCACACCACGTCGTGGGCGTCGTAAGGCAGTCTGGGCACTTGGCTTTTCCTCTGAGTGAGACGGAAGCGTTGGAGAGTTTGGGGTAAAGGAGCGACGTGTTCGCTTGGCTTGGGTTTTAACATGGTCCCCTGCAGTGCTGAGACTAGAACATAGGGAAGAAAATACGGCAGCAGGGACGCTATTTAGGAGGTGATTTGAAGAATCAAGGGGAGAGATGAAGGTGGTCTGGAGCCGGGAGTAGCCAGTGGCGATGGTGAGAAGCGACCAGATTAGGAATCTGTAAGTGAGGGAGTGGACATTCATGAGTCCGTGATTTACTGAGCTCTGAAAAGTAAACCAGGCTTTTTTCCCTCGCTTGTCCTTTTTTTGCCATTGTCAGAGATAGGCTATTGTTCGGCTGAACCAGTGTCTGACCTACTTTGACAAATCTTTATATTGATTTCAGAATCTCTGAGGTACCAAGGAAATTACGCGCGGTTCTGTTTCTCAAAGCGGGTGATGATGGCGATTTGAATGGGGTAATTCGTCATTGCACAAGGTCTGCACTGCAGGACGTTCAGTGTCCCTGGCTGCAGCCAGTTAGTACCTGCCAATTAGCGCCACACCCGAAACACGCCCACACACTTCCACACAGCCCCCAGATCCACGCATGTTTTTGCTGAAAGCCACCAAACCGTGGCCTCTAACAGAGCATGTGACGCTTTTTCTTCCCTCGACAGTATTATGCCTACCTGTATTCTTACGTGATGCCCCAGGCCATCCGAGACATGGTGGATGAGTACATCAACTGTGAGGACATCGCCATGAACTTCCTCGTCTCCCACATCACTCGGAAACCGCCCATCAAGGTGAGACGCCGCTGTTAGGGGCCTGTGGACGCATGCTCACTCACTCGCTCGTCTCGCAGTAGCGCGGTTCGTAACCGTGCCACGCTTTGGAGTGCTCGTTTGTAAAATGGGGATAACGATTCTGCCTGCCTCATCGTAGACTTGTTGGGATTAAATGGGTTGTTAATGCAGAGTCTCTTCACTCCCAAGGCCGGTGGGTAGAACTCAGAGGGTTTAAACCTTGGGGAGGAAAGATCTTGCATCTTTGTTTTTATTCATCTCTGACTGGAATTCGGCATTTTCCTCACTTATGAAAAAGAGTATTAGCAGTATCTGTGACTTGTTACCGATAGAAATCACAGGTACTTTCATATCACATGACATTTGTTGTAATATCTCTTTACGTATTTGTTACATTTGTTGTAATATCTCTTAAATTTGTTACATTACCTGCAAAAAGTATTGTTTCTGTTTGTCACTGCTTTGAACATGGCAGTTATTACACTTCCCCTAGATCTTGTTATTTAAGGCATTAATAGAAGGGCTTGTATATTATTATATTTCAGCATAATTTATCTCCTTTGTGATCCTGTGTATTTGAGTTTGTTTCTAAAAACATTATTCTGAGGAGTCTACAGCCTTCACCAGATTGCCAAACTGGGGGGGGCGGGGGCGGGGAGGCTGTCCAGCAAACAAAAATATTCAAGAATTCTGAATTAATATACATAAAGCTCTAAGAATAGTGCTTGGCACATAAGTGCTGTATGAATTATTTGCTCAAAAACAAAAGAACCTCAGAATTTTAGAAATTTTTGTTCTATTTTTGTCTTTGAACTGCCGATCGGTTTAGTCCAGAATAAACCAATTTTTCATTCAGGCAGTTCCGTCACCCTTCCCGTCGTCACTGCTGGCCGAGGTGACAAGTGCAAGCATCCTGCTAAGGGTTAGGAGAGCGTCAGTCCTTTCAGAAGCAGACGCTATTAGGCCTGGTAAGGGCCTTGCAACAAATAATGCTACAGAATCTGTCACTTCAAATGGATGACATTTATGACTGTGCTCTGTGTTTGTCATGGATTTACACTGATGTCCTCAGAAAGATTAACAAACTAGTTAAGGTCTTATTTACATTATTATTAAAAAGGCATATTACTTAATTTTATAATTGAATAGGATTACCTTCATGGATGTCACATTGCCATGGGTAAATAATTCATTCTTCTTATAGTTTGAAGGTAAGTTCTAGACTAAGTATCTGCTAGCACGTGCTAATAACAAAAATCATATATTTAGCAGCTAGGTGCAGTGGTGCACACCTGTAGTCCCAGCTACTCAGGAGGCTGAGGCAGGAGGATCATTTGAGTCTAGGAGTTTGAGACCAGTTGGGGCAACATAGCAAGACCCCGTTAAAAAAAAAAATCGTATCTTAGTGGTAAGCAGAGTGGTAACCAGAGGAAATTGGTTCCATGCGACAAAGCGTAATAAAGAGAGAGAGGAGTGCATGTGGGGGCCTTATGCATCCACTCGTGCACGATCAAACCTTTCCCCAAGTGTGGCCCGGGATTAGAACATAACTCCTATTGAACATAACTATTGCGCATAGTTTCTTTTATTGCTGAGACTTCTGCTAAAGCCTCACAAAAGAAGAATTAGCAAAATAATGTATCAAATTGTTTTTATGAAACCTGTGAATGACAATAGTCACAACTATTGATATAAAAATAGCGTCTTCCATGTACAGTGATAGGTCTAATATTAAACAATGAAAAGCACACTTCTTAGTAAATTTTGAGATAAGGAGGCAAAGTTATTAGAAATAAATGATTGGTGCGATTTTCTATTCTTTATACATCCTCTCTTACGTGGCCAGGGACTGGTCTTCAGTCAAGATGTGTGCTTCTATTTATGCCTCCCTACTGGATCAGAAGACATCATCCATGAAAATTTAAAGTATCTGAGTGATCAGGTATCTAATAGTAGCGTCAGTCACCTGAGCACTCACAGACATGATGAATTTTTTATTTTCATTAAAACATGTTTATCTACTGTGTTATTAGGCTAGGGTTTCATTATCTAAACCATCTCTCCAGTATAGAGAATAAGATGGAAATAATTTGGACATGGATACATGATTCTTACCAAGTAAAAACTTCAAAACTAAGTATTCTCTGTGAATTTTCTTGATCTAACTGGAATATAAGAAGAGAATTCAATTTAAGATTGGGATGACTTTTTAAAATCAAAGGCTCAGATGACGAGTGTTTTCAAATTCTGAATCTAATTATTTATTTCATAGTATAGAACCAGGTATATGTACTATTTTATGTTCAAAAATAGTGATTTTCTTTTGCTTTAAATACCTAAAATTTTTACTATTACATTATTCTCTTGTTTGAATTAGGAAGGTTTGACTACTTTATGTGATTAGCAGTTTTCTTTCAGTAGTGTTATTTTCTTAATGCTGACTAAAGAACAGGGAAAAGAACTGACTAATGCCATGTTATAGCTTTGTGTGAGGTACAGTTTTGCAAGGGGGAGAAAGATCTAGGATGTAAATAGGCTTTATTCGGAATACAGGATTAAAAACTCACCTGGAAAGCTTTGAGAAGACAGATGTATAGGTGATACAGGGAAGCAGAGAGGGGAAACATAAGTGAACCTCTTAGTTCTCCTGGGCAGTGTAGGCTCTCAGCGTCTGTTAAAGATTCTCCTTACTGTTAATAAGCATGAAACTAATGTTTTAAATTGAGTTACCTGGAATTGTCCCAGGTAAAATATCTACAGTATGGGTTAAGTAATATTCAAACTTTAGTTTATATTATAGTTGTTACTTCATTCTTTCAGATTTCCTTTTTTGTATGTTTTATTATATAATAGAGTTATATATATTTAGAAATATATTGGGGATGCAATCTCAACATTTTTTTACTAATGAGTTACATGATTAAAAACATTTGGAAACCACTGCTTCAGTGCCTTTCTCCCAGCTATATTTTTCCCACATTTTGAGCCTATATTTTTCCCTTCTAGTATTACTTATTTCTGGTTTGGTATGAAAATTATAACTAGTCTCATGCTGTACTGTGGGACATGTTCCCCTTTTGTTTTATATGGAAGAGTTTGTACAATGGTGGAATTGTCCATTCTTGAAATGTTTACCCGTGAATGCGATCTTATTTGGAAAATAGAGTCTTTGCAGATATAATTAAGATATGCTCATACTGGATTGGGGCGGGCCCTCAGTACTGATGTCCTTGTAAGAAGAGCAGAAGAGACACAGAGATACACGGGACGTCACACCATGCGACGTCATGAAGGCAGAGATAGGAGTGATGTGTCTGTGAGCCAAGGGGCACCGAGGAATGTCGGCAACACCAGAAGCTGGGAGAAAGGCGTGGGACAGATTCTCTCCGCAAGTCTCCAAAGAGAGGATAGCCCTGCTGCCACCTCGATACCTGACATCTAGCCTCCACAGCTCAGAAACACCGAGCTTGCACCAAAGAGGGGAGGGACAGGACGGAACGAAGGCAGGCCGTCAAACCTCTGGGATTCTGCAGAGCTCCTCGACCGCTGAGGTGTTATATACTCGAAGTAATGGGGAGAATGACCGAGGGTGGCTTGGGCAGAGCCACCTCCTCCTTGGTTCCAGAGGGCAGGGCCACCTCCGTAGGGCTGCTGCCCTGGCGATGCAAGAAGATGGATCATTGAGCCACAGAGGGTGATTCTCAGGCCTTGAAATCTAATGGCACTTACCTGGCTGGGTTTTGGACTCGTTTGGGACCGTTGGCCCATTTTCCTTGTTGTTTGTCCATGTTGGAATGAGAAAGTCTGTCATACGCTGTCCCACCGTTGTGTTTTGAAGCAGATAACTCGCTCTCTAGGTTTCACATGTTCACAGGTGGAGAGGAACCTTGTTCCAGGGTGAACCATACCCTGAGTCTTACCATATCTGATTTAGAGGATTTAGAAGATGAGATTTGGGACTTTCTGAGTTGATTATATTTAGATGATAATTTGGACTTAGAGTCGACGTTGGACCAGGCTAAGACTTCCGGGGATGCTGGAATGAAGTGAATGTATTTTGCACAGGGAAGGATATGGAATTTGGGGGCTGGGGGGCAGACTGTTGAGTTGTGTCCCCTGAAAAGATATGTTCAAGGCCTAACCTCTAGTATGTGACCTTATTTAGAAATACGGTCTTTGCAGGTATAATCAAACTAAGATGAGGTCAGGCTGCAGTAGAGTGGGCCCTCAATCCAGTGTGACTGATGTCCATATAAGAAGAGGAGAGAGACAGAGACAGGCACACGGGGACACCACGTCACGACAGACGCAGAGGCTGGAGTGATGTGCCCACGAGCCCAGGAGCCCCGAGGGTTGCTGGCAGCCTCAGGAGCTGGGAGAGAGGCCTGGAACACAGTCCCCCCCCACCCCGGGGGCTTTAGAGAGAGGATGGAGCCGCTCACGCCTTGATTTCAGACTTCAGCCTCCAGACCCAGGAGAGAAGAAATTTCTGTTATTTTAAGCACTGAGTTTATGGTAATTTGTTAGGGCAGCCACCAGAACCTGGTAATAATCACTATCATGTTCTTAATGGTATTAATTTCATTGTTTTTCTTTATAGTTTATCACCAAAGTATGTATCCCTCAACACTATAGCTTGCTTGTTAAATAAACTTTAAACTTTTCAATTAGAATAGATTTTAATTAAAATAGATTAGCTAGATTTAGATTTACAGGGCAATTGTGAAGAGAGTACAGAATTCCTATAGACCTCCGTCGAGTTTCCTGTATTAATATCTTACATCAGTATGGGACATCAGTCACAATTATTGAACCAGTCTTGACGCATTTTATTACCAAAGTCCGACCTTCATTCAGATTTCCTTAGGTTTTGCTCTGTGTCTTTTCAGGGTCAGTTTTGCCTGTTCTGAGCTTCATGTGAATGACATGAATGACATCGTGCAGTGTCTCTTCTCCGTGTCTCTTCATCTTGCTCCCATAATTCTTTCATCTTGTCAGTATTTTCCACTCCGGGTGATAATTATACTTTTTCGTCACTAATTTTCCCTTCACACTCATCCATGGAGTGTCTAATTTAATATGCTTTTTAGTTCCATTGTTCTGTTTGGTTCTTTTTCATGTCCACTCAGGCTTTGTTGACAGTCCCTTGTTTCTTCATCAGACTTTAAGTATCTTTCAAAATTGCATCGTACGTGTTGTACACGTTCATTGTGACGGGCACTGGTGATTGTGCTGTTCTGCAGTGGTTCGGGATCTGATTCTGTTCCAGTATTTGTTTCTACAGATTTTCCCTCATGTAGCTCATTCCCATTTTTCTGACTGTTCACTGAGATGATATTCTTTGGGATTTGATTCAAGGCAGTTGTTTGAGGCCTGGATTTGTGCCGGAGAGGATCTGCATTTGTTCCTTCCCTGGGCCTGGGGTCAATACTGCTTGAGGCCTGTTCAAGCACATTCGCATCTTGGGGCTTTTCAGGACACACGTAACATAAATTCCAGCCTCCGCCGTGTGAGGGCCGGGCCGGCTTGTGGTTTGAAATTCTCGGAGGTGACTTTTCCTTCGTTAGATGGAGCTAAGATGGAGAAGAAAACGTCTCCTCCCCATCTGTGTTTGTGGGGCTCCCTCTGGCCCCTGCTTCCTGCTACTGGGTCGCACGTTCCGAAAGGCCCCGGCCGACTTTGCAGGTGTTGCTTCCCGTGCTCCGTTACGAGCAGAGCTCCTGGCTGTCTCCTGGTGGGCTTTCCCGTTGCTCTCCGAGGATTTCGTTTCTTATTACAAACTCAGCCGTGCATTTACGAGATGGTGTGTACCTCATCCTGCATTTTCAGATATTCTGTGCCGAGGGGGTTTTATGCTATTTGGTCTGCCACATTGTTTGTGAGGAAGCTGTTACTCTTCATAATTTTGTAATTGCTTGAAATGTCCTCATAATATAACTAGATTATGATATGACCACTTTCCCATGCCTTCATATATAATTTTGTTAAGCTTCTTTTTAAATTAGATGTATGGTATTTTATAATTATTTACCTAGTCTCTAGGTACTTTTCCAGTATTTTGCTATTAAAAGCGTTGATGAAATAAACAACTTTGTACCTGCATCTTGCTGTGCAAGCAAGACAAATACTAGAAATAGAACTATCGAGACACATAACGCTACACATTTTCAGGCTTCTCCTGTCTATGAAGTATAGGCCATTTGGAAAGAACACCGTACTAGCGTTCCAGATGCATACTTGGTAGGAAGAAGCCCTGGGCCGCGCCGGCTCCTGACTCACTTTGCATGAGGGTCGCCAAGGGGGTTCGGCGTCTTCAGCGTGGAAACGAGGGTGTTGGATCTGCTCAGCCGCAAGGTGAGCATTAGCGCCGCGATTCTCACTGTCTCTCTCTCTTCCCCGTTCCCAGGTGACTTCACGGTGGACTTTCCGATGCCCGGGATGCCCTCAGGCCCTGTCACACGATGACTCCCACTTCCACGAGCGGCACAAGTGCATCAACTTTTTTGTCAAGGTGTACGGCTACATGCCCCTGCTGTACACGCAGTTCAGGGTGGACTCTGTGCTCTTCAAGACCCGCCTGCCCCACGACAAGACCAAGTGCTTCAAGTTCATCTAGGGCGTCGCAGGTTTTGGGGAGAGGACGGGCAGAGCAAGGGAGATGGCTCTTAAGGTTCCTAGGCATCGAAGGACCTTGGGGACATCGCTGGGTGGGTGGCCCAGACCCTCTGCTGGGAGAGGCAGCAGGAAGAGTGGGAAGGAGATAGCTGCCTTTATCTTGAAGTCGGCCACACTGGGCCTGGAACCCTGGTCAGAAGACCCTGGGGTTCCCTGCAGGGCACTGGCTGATAGCTTACACTGAGGACCATGGGACTCTGTGGAGTCGCTCACGTAGTTCATAGCCCGGGACAGCTGGTTTGTGGTTTGGAATTTCAGTAACAACTATTATTATTATTTAAAAAGAGAAAGTTTCAGATTTGCCATTCGAGGCTTATTTATATGTGTATGTATATATACACATATATGTGTGTGTCTGTGTGCACACACACTCACATACATATACATATATATTTTTTTGGCGGGAAGAGTTTGACATTTTTGCTTCTCTGAGGGACCCATCAGGCTCCCGTGTTCCGTATTTGGGTGGAGAGGGGTCCCGGCCTCTTGTTACTTGGCTTATCCTGGAAGATCGTCTCCCGCCCTCCCAGGGGCGTCTGTGTGCAGACACAAGGGAGGGGGGGACTTGGCCGACCTATGGGCCTTGGACGAGATACGATCTGTGGTCTGTTCCCTCCCCTTTCTGTCGCAGGTAGTGCTCTAACTCACGTTCTCCTCTCACAAGAATCCCTGGGGAGGACCCGCGCCGTGGTGCGCGGCCGAGCTTCCTTTCGCTGGGTGCAGAGGTTTATGAGGATTCATCCGGGCTTGTCCCGGGACCCGTCCTTGCCCTCCGTCCCTGCCCTCCCACTCTCTCCCTTGCTGAGCAAGTAGGAGGCCTGAAGACAGCGCTCCCGGTGGCTCTTTGCCCTGCCCTCCTGTTAAAAACGATGTGTGCTTTTGGGCGTCAGGCGTTTCTGAAGCGCTGTCTCTCGGATAAAAGCACAGCAAACCTTGCAGGCCGCATGCCAGGCGTGGGCCGAGTGCTTTGCAGGTTGGCCTGCTCTTTCCAGCGAGGAACCGGCGAGCGCGCTTTAAGGATCCCACCCGGCGGGCCGGGAAGTCTCACAGCAAGGCACCTGCGTTGGGATCGAAACCTGGGTGAAATTCACCTTGCCCTCCGCCTTTGTCTGGCCCTCCCTCCTGTGTCACCTGTGGTTCGGACCCCTGACGCCAGGTTGGCTCTAGGACCCCCTGAGGTTTAGCATGTGCGAGAACACTGGGAGGCCGTGATCTGCTGTGTAAACTCAAATCCGGCCTTGGAGTTTATCCATTCACACCCCACACTTACCACTCACCACTCCCAGTCCAACTTCTGTTCCTTGGGCTGAAACTGAAATAAGCTAATTTTTTTGGTCATGGTGACAGGAGGGGAACCGAAGAGGGTGTTAGTGGCATTTGTCAGGGATTTAGCCCATGACTTCTATTTTCTGAACCCCACTTTCTCAAAGTGGAGTTGACTATGGATGGTTTCTAGCAACCGAACAAAAGCTCAGGTCTGTCCCGGTCATGCACATGCCTTAAGCCAGTTTTGTCTTCCCTACACCTTGACATCCTGTGCTTCTATTTCTTGGGGTACACTCTCCTCTGACCTGCCTGTCCCAAATGGGTTCTCTTCAAGTATTCCTTTGAAGCCAGGCTCTTTCCTGTAGACCCCCCCGCTGTAAGGCTGGCTTGGCTTGAGGGAACTCTCCTCACTGGCAAACAGGACCAGGGCTGCTCCAGGGCCGTGTCTGTCCAGAGGTTCCACTGGCGTCTTCTCGTAGCTCCCCCACGGAGGCAGCCAGCTGGGAAATGCGGTTGTGCTTCTCAGCAGCCCAGCAAAGGCGTCCAGACCGCCTGGCATTTGAGCTTTCTAATTGCTCTTTCCTTTACTTCTGACTTCATTCTTTTTAGCAGTAGCCTCTTCCCTTGGGGGAGCCAAAGAGCGTGGTGTTTTGCGCTGTGTATGTGGCTGCTATTTTATCTTGTTTCTTTTACTGTGAGGCACTCATAAACTGACTTTCAGTGGGACCCGGCGAGCAAAGGGCAGTCTGTGGTAGGACCCCCTTTAGTGGAACCAGAGTGCTGGGTCCCCGAATGTTACTGGTAGACCCATGAGTAGCTGAGTGGGCTGAAATCATGGATGACAACAAAATGTGCTAGAGGGAGGGTTACGGTGTCAGAGCTTCAGATGAGGACAGCGCTCTTCGGCCCTAAGGGACACTAACTTGACTTCAGACAGAGGCTCCAGTGGACACCGGCCATGCTCCTAACGGGCACACGCTCCTCGGCGAGAGGTGCGGCCGGTGGACGTGGCATGTTGCTGGTTAGGTCCTGAGGAGCGGGCTGCAGGGCGGGCGAGGGAGAGGCCCAGTGCCCTGCCTTTGGTGTCGCGCACCGTGGCAAAGCCACCCACCTGTCACTCACCCGAAACAGGAAAGCGGGTCTGCAGACCCCCGGGCTTTCCTTGGCTGTCCGCAGGTGACACCTGGTTACCTAGAGTGGCTCCCAGGGCCCGCTGCGACCTTGTGTTCCAGTTTGCTCGTCATTGCGCGGGTCGCCCGCCTACGTGGTGGCTCGCAGGTGCTCCTCAGGCCAGTCGGAGCCTCTGCTCGCCTGGCGGAGGTCCGCGGTCTGGCCTGGGCGGCGCCGCAAGCTCCCTGGTCACAGGGGCCCCATCTCGGACGTCAGTGGCTGCCTGCGTGTGCGCAGGGAGCTCCCGCTGTGAACGGGTCGCTCCGATATCCGTGCCGTGTCCATCCATCCCACCCCTTTTCCGGTCATGAGCACAATGGTCTTATGTTGGATTTTTGTAAAAAAAAAAATAAAATAAATGGAAACTTTAACTCAAGCCGCTTGGAGGTCTTTTGTAATTTCCCTCAGCAGGGACAAGAGAGCGGCCCGAGGGAGACGGCGCCTGCTTGCTTCCAGGTAGCCGCCAGCGCACGGCCAGCGGGCCCTTCCCAGAGGACTGTGGGTGGCGCGATCAGGCCGGGAGCGGCCTGCGGACCTGACCCAGGTGAGCCGAACCGCGCCCACGCAGGCAGCGTTGCCTGCACCAGTTTCTGGGACTAGTCATTTTCCCTAGACAGAGAGAGGAACTTGGGTACCATTTAACTGATTTGAGTGGGGTGTGGGATGGCACATGGCACGTATATGCAAACTCAAGTTTTTCATGGGAATTTAAAGTGCGTGTGTGTGGCGTGGCGGTGGGGAGCTGTGTGCCCACGGTCCCAGTGAGAGGCGAGGGCTTGCTGCATGGCCTGATTTGGTCTTTGGTTGTTCCCCTACCTGCTGGGAGTCACCAGGAGCCCTTGCGCCTGGCTCATGCTCCTGTCAGCCCTGTCTTGGTGCCCATGGTTCTAGAACTTCTGCTTGGCTGTGCCCCCTCAGGAGAGAGCACTGAGTCATGGGCTTGGGGGAGATGGATGGAGAAGGGGAGAAGATGGAAGTGAGAGAGAAGCTGAGTTGGCTTCTCCTTTCCTGGGCTCTGCAGCTGAAAGCTTGGGTAGCACTGACGATCCTAAGAGTGGGTGGCACCTAGAGGCCCGTGTCCCTCCTAAAGTGGGGTTAACGGTTGACCAGGCAGGTGTGCAGCAGGTGCTGGGTGGAGATGATGTCACACAGGGTGCGGATTCCTCCTCGGGCCTGGAGTTGTGGCTGCCGAGCTCCTGTGCTTCCAACCACCCATCTCCTCGACGGCCCCGGGCCAGAGAGACCCGAGACAGTGCGTGAGGCTGTAGCGGGCAGGTCTCCTGCAGAGATGACGTGTCTGCTCAGTCTAGTCCTGCTCAGTTCTGGCGTGGGCTTAAGGTGAGCCAAAGTGGCCAGTGTTAGCTGTTGATGTGATTGTCACTCAAGTTGAAGGCTCCACAAGGTTTATAAAAACACGGTTCAGAAGGAGAATGTTGTTCAGGGAATGGGCTCTGGAGGAAGCTGTATGGGTTCAAATCCTGGTGTGCCCCGCGCTGGTGGAGAGCAAGTTGCCCGTTGTAAGCTTTACTCTCATCTGTAAAATGATGAAAGTGGTGCCTGTCCCTTAAACATACGTTAAAAGTCAAATAACATAGTAAACGTAAAGAGTCAACTATTTGACACGCAGTAAAAATGAACTGTTATTGGGTAAAAATAGCGTCAGCTCCGGGGCTCTCTGCATCCCATCTGTTTGGAATACCAGCGCCTTGCTCAGGCCTCCGTGGGGGCGGCACCTGCAGGAAGCCCTCCCTTCTCGGAAGGTGCTCCTTGTCCAGTCTCCCGTCACCTTACTGTGCATGGTGACGGTTTACTGCTCTGCCTCGCACACCAGACTGGAAGCCGCTTGGGACTACAGCACAGGACGGTGTTCAGTAGTTCTCTGAGGAAGGAAAGCTTTGACAGACCAGAGTGTCATTGCTGGGTAGCTACGGACGCCTGACACAGGCTCCGAAGTCTCAGTATGTATTGTTTAAATCTTTGACCAAAACAAAACGAAAAAACCTCTTTGACAAAGGGGATGAGAAGGAGTGTGCCAGGAATTAAGGACAACACAGAATGGATCCCAGAAGAGATCAGTAACGCAGGGTGGGAAGCCTGGCCCTAGGGCCAGGTTTGGTTTGCTATTAAATGTCACCTGGTTTTTGATTTGTAAGTTGTTTTACCTTTCTTAGTTTGTTTTCGTGCTGATAAACAGTACAAATCCTAGTCACATTGTAGGGCTGTCACGTTAGCATTTAAACTATTAGTATTTAAATCTTATTTATTTGAACTATTGGTCTCAATGTTTTATTATGAAAAATTTCAAACATACGCAAAGTTGAAAGCATTTCTATAGAGTAAACTGGTATCCCTGCCTACCATTTTACTACACTTCCCTGGTAGCTCTCCGCCTACCCATCCCTGCCCATTTACCCATCCCTCCGTCATCCTTTCGTCCGTCCCAGTTTTGGTTCATTTCCAAGTAAATTAGTGACATCCGTACACGCACTTCTAAATACATAAGCACGCACATCGTTAACTGTAGGTCAGTATTCATTTCTACGTTTTTATTTTTCCTTTTTGGTTTTTAATGTAAACTTTGTTTTAAATTTACACACTGAAATGCACAAGTCTCAAATGCTCATTCCCTTGAGTTGTGACAAAAGCATACGCCTGTGTAACCCAAACCCCTCCCAAGATGCAGAACGTTACTATCAACCCAGAAGGTTCTCTCCTGTTCCGTCCCCACCTCTTCCACCCTTGGAGATAACCAATACTGTGATTTTGTACCTTGGATTAGTTTTCTGTATTTTAGAATTCATATAACTGATGTCATACAATTTTTACTCTTGTGTAAGGCTTCTAGAAACTCAGCATGTTTCTGAGATTCATA